TGCATATGTATTACATGCTGACAACAAACCACTTTTGTGTCCATAGTCTGCTATCATTGTTCAACATTGATCTGGTTGGGATTAATCGCCTTGTGTTAAGGCAGTGTGACAATAGAGAATGCTGTTGCAGGTCTCACAGAAAAAAACAAGATTGACGCGCATCTTCGAAATCAACGCACATGCTGACCAGAATCAACTGTTTTTAGGCCTTTCAACCAACCACTTCGGATTTTAAAATCTTAACCCCTTCGCGCCAGGATTCTTTTGACCGCGACTGCTGGGCTGCAGTATACCCAGTATGGCAAGGTCTGTCCAGCAGCTGGCCCACATTGAAACTGCAGCTGCATGGTGAATAGAATGTATGTGTGGTATGCACTAATCCTCACACAAAGCCGCGGCTGTAGATGGTCTGGGCTGAAGGGGGTTAAGACAGTCAAACCAAGTTACCTCAAGGATCATTCATGACAGCCACACACTTCTCCATTCAGCATCCCTAGACAGTAGCCAATGGGATGATCCATCCAATGAATCCTCCAAGGCTGTATCTGATGAATATGCAAATTGTGTGAAGTATGCAAATGAGATTCAAATTTGGTACCACATGTAAGGCATGCCAAGGAGCACTGTATGATGTCCTTAATGTAGCTGATCCGTTTCCATATCTGTGATGTGGTTTAGGAAGTACTTTTTCGGAAAACCATAGCTTGTTACCACCTTCTACATGTACATATTTTGTGTGACAAGACAGAGACCCATGTCGCTCAAGCCTGTGCATTTCTGAGGTACGGCATTACAAGGTTAATGCATATGCTGATGGTAGTAAAGCCACTCACTTTTTTTGGTTATAGATCAACCAATGGGGGTAGATGGAATTATTGGTTGCATTTTAATTCCATCCTCAAACATAATCCCCCCCAAAATGAAAGTGTGGTCTGTCCAAAAGTTGTGAAACTCTGCAGGTGTTCAGGGTAAAGCGTTGATCGTGGGTAATATATCAGGAAATCACAAAATAGACTGTGATTGAAACTATTCATTATACCAATCGATCACGTAACCATTTCTGTTGTTAATTTCAGTCATTTAAAAGTGCTTAAAAGTAGAATAAATATTCCGTACGCTAAATTTATTTTACAATTATACACACAAACTACTGATTTGTCCTGCACCTTAAAAAAGCTAAATGTAAATAAATGAATGTTCATTGCAAAAAAAAGAGTTTGTAATGCAAAGATTTCTTGTACAACTTTTGAGTTGATCACATCCAGTCCATAATGTTTCTTGTAATAATTATCAAGTTCATATTTGTGTTGACCAATGTTTTTAAGAGTTAATATATTTGAATATTTGTTGGAAATTAACAACAGTTTTCCATGTTGCTGAAGAGAATGATAACATAGTTTTGGCTCATCTTTTCTCCCGTGGGTATAGCATAAGTAAAAAATGACCAATTTTTCATACATGAATATTGTCCATACTGAGACTAAGGAGAAACATGCGGTCAAGTGAATGTGACTTGGTAGTCACCGTCCTAGGGGAAGAAAATGGCTCAGAGGCCATAATGGCTTGCAGGGGCCTCACTAGAATGGCCCCAGCAACATCAATTGAGGTGTCTCACAATTGCCCTCGGACAGTAGCTGTACTCAGATGTCCACCCCAACAAAAGTGGCCAATTGTCTAGGACAATGTGGTGGAAGTGGGTGAATTGTCCAGGACAAGTCAGGCGGAAGGTCCAATACGGAGGAAAATGGGCAATATGGCTCTAGTGGTGAAGTTCTGTGCAACAAAATGGAAAAATCTCTGCATATACAATGGGAAAAAAGGTCAATCCAAAACTGCTCCAAAACAGGACAATTACTGGCAAACCAAGAAGCATCATACTGATCACAAGGTTTCAAGATATCACGATTAGAACTCACAGTGAAGATGTGATAGGAAATGGACAATTTTGCTGGTGAAACAGAGAGCAAATGCAGAGCTGCCAGACACTAGCACTGCACGTAAAGCGTCCATTTCGTATTCCATAACCAGTTCCACTTCAGCATTGATTAGCAGAGATTTAGGAGAGACATTGAATCCCAAGGGAAAGCATAAAACGGTGGGATAAAGTTGTGCTGAGGATGTTGCCACGTACATGTACTTCAGTACGACTGTATTTGCACATACACTCTGAAGGAGGTGATTACAAGTATTAACATCAAGTACATGTACGTGGACTCAATAGATATTTGGACATTTTCAGTGACCTTAACCTTTGAACTACTGGTATCAAACTTTGACCAATAAAATGCTTCCTTTTCCTGAGCACATGATCTGCAAAAGACAGGCTATTGTCCAGGAACCAAATGAATTTCGAACAAACAGAAAGAAACAGACAAATGGAGGGATAGTACCCTGCCCCCCACTGATGCAATCGGTCCATCAGCCTTACTTGTCCCTTTCTCCCTCGATGTTGAATGTTCCTGCCAGGTAAAACTAGTCCCGTGGCTTGTCTTGGCAAACGATCCTCACGTGGTGATTAGATAGGCAAACTATGCCCATTGATGTCAGGTGCGATAACCAGTATTCCACATCCTGTGTATAGTGGTCATGGTTCCCTGTAAAGGGAAAACCATTACTCGTTGAAAACCACCCAAAGTAGGAGCAAAATATATTACATCTTGAGGGGATAGTGGTACCTACATGAATGCAATAATTGATATAAATTATGAACGGAACAGAACTATCAATCAGCAAGTAAGAAATTGCACACACCTGTGACGTAGTAAATACTGTGCATTGCCCTTAACTGTTTAAGTGGGCTGACAGCTTCCCCCAAGTTCTCCGCAGTTGAGTCCACAAGATCGCCAGTGATCACTACAATATCTAAGCAGACATTTTTATTTCTAAATGAAGGATAATGAACTGAATCATCAGTTTGGTCTATGAAATACTGTTCTGGAACATTTTGAGCATTTGCACTTTCATTAAATATACACATGTAGCTTACTTCAAATAGGAGTAATTTTTGACAAGTACAAATTCAAATTCGTGTAAGCATGATACGCCTTACAATTACAGAAGTTATAATGCATTTCGGGAGTTTGGGAGGCTGTTCTTTGATACTGCATTAGTTGCAATGAATGAAATATCTCTATCAATCACTTACATATATTGGGCTAAGACTATCTCCTCCCTAGTCTACTACTGATGTTCCTAATTAATCTTTGATAGGTTTGACCTTTCATAATTTTGGGTATGCATCCTGGACGAAGAAACACAGTTCTCACACTCAATTCCTTGGTTGTTTAAATCCTTTTTTTTACAGCCCAAGAAATATTTACAATCAGGTCAGTTAATTTTACAGAACCCCCCTTCATGATCAAGCACCATACCAACAGCTGTCAAGGTCATGCATTGATTTAGGTTGTGAAACAAAACTTCATGTCTGCTGTTTTTATCTTTTTTCACCTAGCACCAGCTTGAAACTCTACTGCACTTCTCTCTAGGCCCAGCAGTAGTGTCCCATTAAACTCCTTGTAAGTACATGTACATTAGAAGTCATCCGGTCTTCAGTAACAAGACATCAAAATGAACTCAGGCAAAGATATTCCTTTGCCACTACTTTGTTCATTTACTTCGGACCGGCCTTGTGATTTGACTGGTGATCAACTTGTTCCAAACTTGGCTATGGGCTACAACTCAGATGGCTACTGGCATAGCTTATCCCTGCATGCTGGCGGAGCTGGCACTGCTCCAATACTGGTAGAGCTACAGAGAGTTATGTTGCTGTATCAAGGCGTGCACAGACCAGACATGGACGTGGGCCAGTTATATAAATCTCATTAATAGAACCTGTGCAAATACAGGTCAAGCACAGCCACCACTGCAGCACTGATTTCTAATTACTGTAACCACATTTCTCTCCAAATAAACCTTCCAGCAGTGGACTCTTAAAACATTCAAAATTATTCAAAATACTTGTAAAAATATTGCTCTTTTTAAGGAAAAATATACACACATGTACACACATATTCCACATAATTCTCTGCAAGTTAGAAATAATATAAATGAATGTCTTATTACATAAATTTATGGTAGATAAGATTTTCAATAGAAGCATTTCCGAATCAAAAATTTACATTTAAAATGGTCTGGAATTTGCAGAAATGGATCAAGGTTATTATCTGTTACTTTATCAAAGGTTTATTTGAATGAAGTTGGCAATAATGTGCTACACTTTGCTGTTATTAATGCATTTGTTATGCTAAAAATAAATTGCTTTTTAAATTTCAATTTGCATTGTCTTTTTCTTATATCCAACTCAAGTATAAAAAAAAATAGTCCTGATAACTTAATAGCACTTTGAAAGACGGTCCGTGTACATCAATCATTTTACAATTGGTTGATCTCAAACTGTTTTCTGCATGGCAGTCCCATTCAAATCCTTCTATCGGTAGGATTCTGCCTGAATCCTACTACCACTGGGGACATCAAGCATTCCAAGTACACTAACTTCTTTGGAGCATCGCATCCCACAGAAAAACAAATAACAGTGGCGATACTCTTCTTTCCTCAATCCTGCCAAGTCTGCAGAACATTTTGGCAGAGTTTGTAGGATTTGGGAGGGCCATCTATTCATAATGATTATAATTATCAAATTCTTCAAGACTTAGTGGCAATTTTTACGAATAACTCTTTTCGTACAAACATCTTCACATGTAAATCCTAACCCTTAGCAGCTTTACAGCTTTGGAATGATAACATTTTTAAAAAATCACACCATAAGTTAATTCCAGCGACACTGGTGACTGAAATTTTGAATACAAAATCCTGTCCCTTTTCCTTATTCCTAATGTTCCTTTCTCGAAATCAAAAAATCTGTAAAGGTGAAAGGACATGACAACTTGTGCATTATTTAAAAATTATTTGCAATGAGAAAATGCAGCTGTCTGTGGACAACTTCAAGGGTTACAGACTCAAGAACCAAGAGCAGATAGAGAAAAAATGTTTTTTTGGGGGGTGGTCTGATTTTTTGAGGGAGGGAACAAAAACTTCTTAAATTTTTTGGTAGGCTTCTGTGGCCTTTCTAAGCGAGGAAGCTACGTTTGGGGGCTTTTTACATTACTTTTTAAATAAGCCCTGACCAACAAATTTGACTGTATTCTGTAATCTTTCTAAAAAGAAGTTTCTTGCTGGGGGGTGGGTTGAGAAGGGAAGGGGGAGATGGGTGGGGGTGGATGGCCCCTGTTGGTCACCCTGGATCTCCCAGTGGCCAGAGTTACAGAAATGCACAAAGCACTGTACTGCTGACACCACACTTTAGTTATATGTGCACGTTTCAGCATGGTCCCTCTAGCTCCAAAGGAAAGTGTACATGTAAACAAAGTGTGACGCCATCAGTACATAGACATGCTCCAACCATGATTGATACCATTGTCTCTGGACCACCTCAAGATGCTAAGAGGGTGATCAGGGTAATCTCAGCCCTGGAGAACAGCCTCATGGGAGGGCCGTTATACCATGTTCCAGATGAAACATACACATAGGTCCCTTCCTTGGGTTGGTAGATGCCGGCAAAGTAGGGGGAGAAGAGGTACGCTGGGATGGTGATGGGGAACATCTGTCCCCCGTGGGTGTGACCTGATTAAAGCAAGTATATTGTAGGTGAGGGTTAAAGGTCAACTTTGAGTGTCAACCTTGTACCCACTTTCAACACACCCAGGTATTGGATCATTTGTATACACTAACATTTCTGAAATTATTATGGGATGCATAAATTAGTCCGACTAGTGATGCCATTCAATTCTGCAAATTTATTTATTATTAATTTTGAGGATTTGAAGTATAGACAACAGAGTGATCAAAACCCAAGTGATGTTTTCCAAACTTAAAATGTGATAATTACATCTACACAGCCTGTACTGTCTTCACGTACATAGAATACATTAAAATGATAATCGACAATTGGAAATGGAAAAGCTTGTAGAGAGTATGCAGCATACCAGTCAGAAGGAAATTCAGAATGGTGTAAACATGCATCCACCAAATTTAAATCACCAATGTAGGAAGAGTGATCATCACTCCAGAATCTATGAAATAAGATTCGATCAGGGAGGAAATTGTTCCTGACTGTCAGTTGTCCCTTCCTTAGCTACGACCTTCAAAATACTCATTTTCCAAGTGACATGTACAGTTTGTTAAACTCAATAATGAAGTCAGAGCATGATGCCCAACATGATTTAAAACATGCCCCAAGCCCCACTTGCCTGATTTATTGAACAAACTTGAATGTCTGGATCCTTTACTGCTCATGTCTGTAAGTTCGAAAGAGAACTTGCCTGAAGTTGGCCCTTGTTGGTTTGTGTAGATTGGAGAGAGGGGGGGGGACATTTTGAAGATATCACTCACCCGAGAGGATGAGACTGATGTCGTACTGTGATTGGACAGCTTGTTTGGCGGCCTTAGGCTGATGAGCCAATAGGATGATTGCATGATCACTGTCTGTACTGGCAAGAGCTTTGTCAAGATCAAATTGATGCTCCCTGTAGGCAAATTAAAAAACAACATAAATGCACTATTGAATTTCCATGCCAAACAGAAGAAGCATCCACTAACGACCTTGAATAGTTTCCACATTTTTACACAGTAACCTTTTCAATTAAAAATTTAAAAACTCCTTGGTGCAAGAATCCACAGAGCTCTGTACTGATAATGCCACACTTTGTTTATGTGTGTACTCACTGGGCCATGAGCCCCTATTGGCTCCATAGGAAAGCGCACATATAAACAAAGTGTGACATCATCAGTAAATCAGCATACTGGCCCATTCTGTTGGCTAGCAATCAACCCTTGAGTAAAGAAACAGTGGCTGGTCTCTACCACCCTTCGTCTGGCTAAATACATTATTCAAGTGGTAACTTGATGGATTTTGAAGGGTCTTGGCAAAGTCGGTTCAAGCTTAAAAGGGGCTGACCACTGATTTTAAAACAACCCTATGATCCAAACAGACCCTCTTTAAACTGAAATGTTACAATGAATCCAAGAACCTAGAGCTCAAAAGCCAAACATTTGGGGAATTCGACTTTCGCTTCGCCTTACTTCTCATACATTCTCTTTCCCTCAATGTCGTTGGTACCAGCCAGGTAGAACCAGTCCCGTGGCTTCTGTGCATGAACGATCCTTACAAAACTGTTGGACAGGCAAACTATGTCCAGGGACTTTAGATGCGATAGCCAATGCTTCACGTCGTAGGTGTAGTATTCGTGGTTCCCTGCAGTAGGCATTAAACGAGAGAGTGCAAAATTTGAGTCGTAACATTTCCCGGCACCAGTGCCTTCTTTTAGGTACAAGGTTGGCAGAGAAACTTTAAATATAAAAGTTCCTCACCAAAATTGTCATAGGGGTCATGAAGAAAAAGAAGCGCTGAGGGAAAGCTGTACCAAAAAAGAATAAAGGCAATGTAGTAAATATTTAATATACAGTATATTAAATATATTTAGTTTATACATGTATATGTGTATATGGTGTCCCCCGCTTGATATTTCACTTGTTTTGTTTTTTTTTGCTGTAGGCCCCTAATTGTTATTTGTAATTTTTTACTTCTTTTGTATTGTATATGTTTGCTAGATATTTTGATGTTCTGTGTTGAGGTCGAACAAATAATAATAATAATATTTAATGAACCAAACACTCTTCAGAAATGTGAACGAAAGTTTTGATTCACTTTTCACAAATTCTTGGAAAAATGGTTTTTGTCCAGCCAATAAAAGGCATTCTCAGTGATGGCAATTACCCTATGTAGTTTTACACTGCTACAGAGTCCTATACAGAACTGTGCCTACGATAAGATTAAGAGTAATATTTAAATCTGCATCTCTACTTCAACCTAGCCAACTTCTTGCCTTCCCGTGCAGATTGTGTCTTGTGCTTAGCCCAGTCTTCCATTAACTTAAATATTTGTGCCCAGACTGTCTCCAAATCATCTACTAATGATGGCTGGCAACATTCTAGCTAAACTATAATGCCAATATGAGAAAGAATTCTACGGAAAGAATTCAGCCTGTTATAAACACCCACAAGTTTTGACAAGGGGCATCTGTTCATTTTTAGGGGATTCTCAATGAGGAAAAATAGTTTGGCACCAGAGGGAAACAAAAGTAAGGATAACTTGGTTTTTACGACACTTGAAAACTGTGATACATGTAGTTCAATACAGAATTCTTGCCTAACTATGGGAAATGCACCCACCTGTGACATAGTACACACCATGTGTCGCCCTTAGCTGCTGCAGTGGACTGACTGCTTCGACCAAATTCTCCACAGTTGAGTCTACAAGATCACCAGTGATTACTGTGATATCTGTTGCAGATAAAACAGCATGCATTATACACGTACCAACTGTTTCATCTGATGTGAAACAACCAACGTCTTTCAACCATAAATTTACATCACTTCAAATTAAAGCATTTTACTCTGAAATCTCAGTATTAAGCACATAATGCAGTTTGTCAGGTGTGAGTGGATGCAAGCTTCTGGGAAGCTGCACTTCCCAGAATCTACGTATGTACATGCAAATTGTCGTCGTGGGCACCATCAGTCAATAGGCACAATTGGCTGATTGGTGATTGCTGCACTTCTATTATTTCAACCTTGCGGTACAATCTGTTGATCCTGTTACCATGGTTACCATAAGCTTCCCCCTCCATTAGCTTTCCTTATATATCTTACATCAAGGATCCAGAAAGATCCAACTCAGCTCTATCACAAGTAGCAGGTGCAGTTTATACCAAATGCCTGAAATCATGAAGCTACACTTCCCAGATTTTTGTGTTTTGCAAAACGGCCCCAGCAAATACATGTAAGCTTGTATGTTCATGTACAATGAAATATGAATGATGCTGTACCAGGTTTTAATGCATTAGCCACGTTCACAGATTTCTGCAGCTGTGACTTGCCAACAGTCGGCCCGAGGTGGATGTCTGACAATTGCACAATCCGCAGTCCATGCATGGACAAGGGAAGCTTCCGCACTGGAATTTCCACTGGTTTGACCACTGGTCCTTCAGCTGCATTCATCACTGATACAGCCACCAGACAACTGGAAATCACCACAATCATCACAGCCCGTATGACAAGCCAGTTCTCCTGGAACCACTCCCAGCTCAAACCTCTTTGAAAAGTCATCTTCAGGAAAAATTCAACAATCTCGAACATGAAAATGACAGCAGCAAGAACAAACAATGCTCCAAAGCAGATGAAGGACACGAAAGAAACAGTTCCAACTTCGGTGGTCTTTCCCAAGAAGAGAATACATAGTTGGCTGAAATGTGCAAACAGAAGAAATACAAACAATGCTGCAGTCCACGTATGAAACACAACACCTTGAACGCAGCTCTTCTCCATACTTTTCATCGGTCTTAAAACAAGATTACGCCAGACCACAAAATAGGATATCAAGAAAATTACAGGGACAAAAATTCCTAAAAGTATCCCTGCTCTCTTGATAGACAGCGTACCGAACCCCATGGACGATGAGGTGAGGTAGGCTATGAAGAAAACACACATAGAAACTAGGAAAGACGCAGCAAGGAGAAAAGTCTTGAAAAGCCTGGGCGCCGCCATCTTTCTTTTGGCGAAACACCTGTAACCAGTAACCCTGACGTCTGTATTAGTGGTATTAGTGAAAAAGTACACGGAAGGTCTGAGGGCACAGGCCGAAGGCAATACGACGATTTTTATCCATTGAGGGCGCTCCATCTGCTTTAAAGAAAATTTCGTCACCATATCCGTATCTTTTGAGATTTTGACATTGTGAACCGGCACTTCACAAGATCCTGGTAAAACTGACAAGTTCGCCTTGCAAGTTGTCTTACATAAGGTAAGAGGAAATCTGATTACGCTTGGGATTTAGGCCTACAAGTGATTTAGAAAGCCTCTAGCTTCTTTCTGGTTCAACTTCGATGGTTGTCTTCATCATTCATGTCATTA